ATGGTTCATGGGGTCACGAAGAGTCGGACACGACTTAACGACTGAACAACAATAACAACAATGCTTGACATCTCACCTGAAGATGAAAACTTTCACATATTGCAGGAACTCAACACATTTTTGTCTCATCTTATGGGCTTCTAAGTGAAGGTTTGCAGCCTGACCTGAAACAAGGCAGAAATTAAGGATGTGCTCTTAAGGAGTTGATGCACTACACAACTTTATTCAACCTTCACATTAAAGGTAAACAGTACAATATTCTCATAATTAAGTGTATTAAGGGGAACCCCCACCCCACCCCAGACCTGAGTTATCCATACCAGTTTAATAAGAATAAGCCAATACCTAAACCAGGGGTTTAAACTGTGGATTGGGACCTCCTGGAATATTATGAGCAAAACTGCATATTTTGAGGGGCCCATGCCCCAAAGCTAAAAACTTGTCCTGAACTTCTTAAAAAGTGAATGTCTTCCCACTCTGCCTAGACATACTGGTTGTTGGCTTTTCCAAGCAAAAAAAAAAAGTCTGGGCTGTGGTCCACCAGGATCCAGCTTTACCTAAACAAGAGCACAAGGGGCGGGGGGAAGGAATCCCTCCCTTAAGTGCTGGGGGTACTTGCTGGAGTAAAGCACAATGGGTGAACCACTTTGGCAGATATAGGGAGAATGGAAAACAGAGCGAGAAGGGAAAAAATAGGCACATGGAGGGGAGGAGAAAAGGTCAGTCAAGGCAATAGTCCCTAGCTCTGGCTCCTGCCGCTGGCACCTTTCGCCTCTCACCCCTAGGCTCCCTTTACACTCTGTGCAAAGAGTTCAAGTTGGCCTCCCCTGTTCTTGCCTGAGACCACTTCTCCTTTCCCCAACATTCCCCACTTGGCCAAGCAGGGACCCTGAACCCAGGTAGTCCTCCTTCCCGAGGCAAGGCAGTCAGAGCCTACATTATACATTGTGTGGCTCCTGGAGAAGCTTTATAAACCAGCAGCTGAAAAAGAGAGGCCTGCAGAGAGAAGTCAGCTCCTTTGCACATTGATTCACTTTCACATTCACACACACTGGATCAAAGCAGGCAACAGTCAGAGAAAAGAAGAGACTGGGGCCAGGTTTCTCCTCCCAGGCTTTGGGAAACAAAACAAAAAGGGCATTTATTTCTTATTTGTTTTAGTGCTAATTATGAAAAATTAAAGAACTTAGCCTTTAGCAGCCTTCCCCAACCTGGCAGTTTCCAGCTGTGTTGGACTATGCTGCAGATCAGTCACTCTGTGCCCAGAATTCCTCACCAGTGGGCCAGGGGAAAGTTGGCATGCATGAGAGTATTACTGTCCAACCAGATGGCAGGGAAAGGAAGAGCTGCTTTGTAACACACATATATCCACAAAGTAGATTTTTCTGTTGGTTGTTGAATTATCAGTCTTTCAAGATGGTGTACTATAAAGCATATGTTAAGGGCTACATCATTAATATTTCATCAAGGTAATTTCTGTATGTGTACAGGACATGGTAACTGAGAACATCTTCAATATAAACTGATGGAGCTGTTTCAAAACATATTTCCATGTCAGGATTGGGGAGCCCATTGCCCATCTTCCTTTATCTTTCACTATTGGCCATGTTAGTGGGAGACTAATGGGAATTTTAGTTCAGCAACATCTGGAATATTACAGCTTCTTAACCTCATATTCATTCCAGAATCTATCAATGTTGTATGTAACTTTAAAGGCATTTATGGAACTTCTGCTTGATGGCTGCCCACTCAGAATACACTATACATTTTAAGAAACTGGCAACATCCTTATCTATCAAGCAAAAAGTATAATTATATTTAAATTACTAACATTTTATTCGCATTGCCTGATACTGAAAACATGAAGTACCAAACCAGCTGCCAATTTTTCTATTAGATTATTTGGATTACTGCACTGTTTTTATCCAGGCAAATAGAAGGGGTAGAAATGGAAGCAGTAACAGACTTCATTTATTTGGGCTCCAAGATCACCGC